CTCACACCCAACTTCTCTCCTCATACATGCAGGAAGGAATCTCATGCTGGCTATTGGTGAGTTAAATGTTATGTTTGCCAAGATATAACCCATCTGTAGAGATAGCAGCTGGGGAGCCTTGGGTGGAAATCAGGTCTTGGTTTTCCTTTTCTAGAAATAATGCCAAAAAGTGTTTGAAAGTGTTGAAATTACATCTTGACACTTAACCCCTCCACCATTTTCTGCTTTATATTTAATTTATAATACAACTATATGTTTTCAGACCCAAAACTTAAATGAAACCATTTGCAATTATTTTGAAGTGCAGTTTTTCAATTGACCTGATCTAATTTGAGGTTTATAAATTCGCTAGGCTTCTTGAGATTAAAGTGTTCTGTCTTTGCTTAAGTATGGAAACATTTTCAAGCCTCAAAAAATATCCCACAAAGGGGAAAATGTCTGCTGCTCTGCTCTCCTTCTGTCTGAGGAAATGAAGGACGGAGTCACAAGATTTAAAGCATGTCACTTACCACACTTTACTAAGTTACAGTTCAACTATAGTATTTGACCATGTGCCTGTTTTTAGCACAACAGTCACATTTCATTCGTGCAGCTTAAAACCATCTCTGCTCAGTCACTTCAAAAAATGTGCTTCTTCTGCAGTGCTTACAGAAAGTGAGTTTGTGTCCCTGTGCATGAGCTGCCAATGTAATTTATTCCAGCAACTTCCCTCTTCTCTCACAGTAAAATAAGCAATACCATGCTCGTGTCCCTGTGCGTGAGCTCTCCTCGGTCTGCTGTTGAGAGTGCAGGAGACATTATTTATGTTCATTAGAGCTTGGGATGAATTGACAATGCAGAAGAAGCAATGACTAATCTGTGTGGCTTTTCTTCTGCACTCATTGCTGGGTCATTGTGGGAGAGTCCTTGTGCTGGCATGACACTGTGAGTTACTGCTATCCCCCACGTTTGGTTAGGTGTGGTTATCATCTGCAGCATTAGGGCAGTGGGATGAGCTGCAGCCCGTGGGCTGTCACTGCACCTCTGCTCCCCAAAGCCTTTGCCACCTTGCCATCTGGGATGTGAGTCTTCAGGGGAGGACTCAGACATCCCCCAGCTCCAGTCTTCCCTGGCTCTTGCAACCCAGAAGTCTTTCCCAGCAGTTGGAGTTTTTACTTTGTGTCCCATGTTTAAACATAAAATCTGCAGAGCAACTCCCTTTGGCTTTCTGTGGTTTCTGAAGGGACAAGTATTGCTCTAGGGAGGTCTACTCCAACCACCACTTGCTAGATGCTTGCTTCCAAGCAGCTTGTTCTCACTTGGATTCTGATTGTGTTATACATGTTTAAGTCTCTTAATTTTAACTTGCAAGATGATTCATGATGTCCTGGTCATTAGAGTTCTTTCTTTGTGTTTTAGTGTATCTTTGCTTGGGGTTATTTTTCTTATTATTTAGGTTATTTAGGGTGCATTATTCTCCCCATGGGAGATTCTTTTTTCTTTGCCATGGATGTTCTGCCCTCAAGAGACATGGACCCAGGCTCAGCCTTAAACACTGTGCCAACCTTCTATTTAGAAATGGATGGTTCCTTCCCTGTGCTTTTCAAACCCCCCAAAAATTACTTGGATTTGGAGACACAAGGGCACTCCCTGCCTCTTGGCCAAAAATATGGGAAAAGAATGGTAAATTTTACCCTCAGCCCACACTAGATTTGTGGTCTATATTCTTATGACATGAATGTGGCCACAACCCCTCAGTCTGATGTTTCCTAGCTGTTTCTCATCTTCCTTCTGTGTGCCTTGCCTTGGCTCTCAGTGTAACTCATCAGACGCATTCAGCTCTACCTGTTGATTACAGAGCAGGCTTGCAACAGCTGGAGAGAAAAGAAGGAAAATAGACCAGTTAGGCATTTTTCTTCATCTTGTTTGGCTTTTTGAAGGTCTGAAAGCTCCAGGAGGTGCTAGGAGAGGTAGACTAACTGTAAAAGAGCAAAATCAAGAAGCTAAACTTAAAATCCTGTAGGGATGCTGTTCCCATAATGTGCAGAAATACCTTTGTGCAGGTTGTTAGCTGCTGGGGCAGCACTTAGGCATGTGGGATAACCTGATTAGAGAATCAAAGAAAACCCTGGTAGCTTCACAGGCCAAATCCTGCCTTACAGCAACCTGATGTCAAATGGGTGTGAATCAAGGAAGCTTTCCCTTTGGCATCATCTGGTAACACCTTGAAGAGAAGGGTTTGAGCCAGCCAGGGTTCTAGCAAGGAGAGAGGCTTAAGCAAACACACTCCCAGACAGGGAGTGAGCTGGAGTCTGAAACTAATGACTTTGTTTATCCTTACTGGTACAGACTTGGAAGGATGAAAAGAATAAATTTCTCTGGTCTGATTTTCAGGTTGTATAGAAAGTTTAATCAGGAGTTAGTTAATTTATAATGCTTGTCTTACTTAGCTGTGAGAATGTCCAACTGTGACTGAGCTAAGATTTGGGAGCAGAAGATGTGTTTTCAGAAGGTATGATCCAGCAGGGTGACTGCCTGCTGTCCTGGCAACTGCAGTTTCCAGCAAAATCAGTGTTAACATGGAATGTCAGACAGGATGGTTGTACTGATCCCTTGTGGGCTTAAACTCTGTGTCCCCGAAATGTGTGAGCAGGAGTTTCGTTGGATGCCTGGTGAGAGCCGTTCCAGGCCGTGTTGTTTGGTGCTAGACCCCTCTGCAGCATGGGTTGCTGCTGCAGGTGCCTGCTCTGGTCACACTCCTTGGTGGGCTGCAGTAGCAGACCAAGGGAACTGCTGAACAGACCAGTCCCCAGCGTGGAAGTAAGCCACAGAATTCCCGGTCATGTGGGGGATCAGTGTTTATCAGAATTCAAAAATCAATCAGGAAAGTTTATGGGAGAAGCATCTACTTGAGGTAAAGTATGGGGAAGCCAAGCTCTGACTCAGGAAGTCTCTAAACCAGTAATCAGTGGAGACTGGAAGCAAATCCCAAGGAATTTCTGTGTTTTGCTTACCCTGTTGTCATACTTTGGCCTCTGTTGTTGGCAACTGTTGGAAATGAGGCAAGCAGTGACTTGGTGAGGCAAATGCTCCATACCTGAGTGTGTTCAGAAAGTTTCATAGCAAATGCCTTATGAATGGCACAATCTTCCATCCGTATCCGCAGGTATCCTGCCTTCCCTCCTTGGCAGAAAAACAGAGAGAGCCACATGGATGCAGACTGAGATGATGTGATCTGCTTATGCAAAGCAAAATGGTAAATCTGCCAGGTTATTTCTCCATGGAGAAAATTATTGACCTTGCTTTTTCTGGCATACCAGCCACAGTTATAATGATGATGATGGTGACAGCAACCAGACAGAAAGGCCAGCAGTCATTCTTTCCTGCCCATTATTATAAGATATAAAGCAAAATCCAGCCTGAGTTCAATGCTATTCTGGCTGTGCTCCCCTTACAAATGTGTGAGGCAGTTCTCATACGGGTTGAAATTCAGGACTTTTCATATCGACCTTTCCAAAACCAATGCTTCTGATCCTCTGATAGGAACTCATGTATTTCTATGTTTGTACCTTACCACTGACATGCAGCCCAGAGATAATGTCTGAGAGCAAATGTGCAAGTGTAGAACCTTCTGAGCTTCTGGGTGATTCATCTCCTTACAATACCTTTTGGTTGCACATGTAAGGACTGGATCTTGCCCCCAAGAATACTGGCTCAGAGAAGCAATAATAATACAGTCAGTCAAAGCACTGCTTTCCCTGGGAATTTTGTTGCATGAGGAAGCAGAACTTTAGCCTTCCTTTGTTTGCTAACAAGATCTGCCTTTCAAATGCTTTCTATATTTCTGTCCTGTTAGATATTTTCTTTTTTTTCTCACCTCCCTCTTTCTGTCTATCTAAATAATAATCAATAGTGTAATGATAGATTTTTCTACCTCACCCAAAATACAAATGATGGTTGATAACTTCAGGTGCATCAAGCAAGAATAGTAGGTGAAGTTTGCTTTTCTAAAGTGCAGTGAAATTACCCAAATCATTGCCACAGATTTATTGTTTGTTATCTATTTGGTTTGGATCCTCCATTCATGGCATGTGTCTTTTAAAAAGTGCTTGCTTTGAAATGGTTAGTTATCCATCTGGTGTCAGAAGGGCTGGTGTGGCTCACAGACAACCATCTGAAACAGAATTATCTTGGTGTTTCTATAATTAACTGCAAGGGTGAGTGAGGGTTGAAATGAGATGAATCATTCAATGGACCCCACTTGAAAAGTGGGAATTTTTTTGGCTGCAGCACTTTAGGAGCAGGCTAGTATGTAAAACCTGTGCAGCAAGGATCATGGCCTTAGAGCTGGAATTTCACAGTCATTATCTCAAACATCGTGGGCCAGAAATAAATGAAGCATTTAAGTCATCCTGAACTCCTGTCCTTGTGGATGCTTTCCTTGCAGCCACTGCTTTGTTCTCTCCCCAGATTTAGCAGTATTCTCTGTGGTGAGAGAGGAAGATCAAGATTTTCCTACAAGGCAGATAAAGATATTTTAATGGGATCTGCATTGGCAAAGTAATTAGAGGGTCTCTCTGTAGCCCCAGGAGTTTGCACTTCAGTTTAGCACTGCCCTCTGTGGGACTTGTCTCTAATGAACTCCTCTGCAAAAGCTCACTCGGACTGGGCAGTCCAGAGGCAAAAGCCCAGGAGTACTGGCTGCACAACTCCTTCCTTCACGTGCTCCTGGCTACAGAGGCTGCTGTGTCTCAGATAACCCACCTGATGAACCATCTCTGATCACTTGTCAGAGCTGCTGAGAGAAGGCTCTGGTTTGTGTTCTCACACTGCTCTAAAGGCTTGACCCAGGCCCTGTGCTGTTATCATACTCTTTGATAACTGTTGACTGCACTTTATCTAGAAGAAATGAAAGTACCTGAAGCTTCCAAGCAGACCAGCAGCAGCCTCCAACCCAGCTGACCTTTGTAAGTGTCCTGCTGAGATGGTGCTCACATCTGTTGTGTATGTTTTCTTTGCAGAAAACTCTGGAGCAATGCAGCGTCTGTGCAAAGCCCATCATGGAGAGGATCCTCCGAGCCACTGGGAAGGCCTACCATCCCCACTGCTTCACCTGTGTGATGTGCCATCGCAGCCTGGACGGGATCCCCTTCACTGTGGATGCTGGTGGCAACATCCACTGCATTGAGGATTTCCATAAGTAAGGCCTAAGCTGCTGTCAGTGCTTTGCTTGTTGTCTTTGTTTTTTGGCCCTAAAAATTCTCCTTTTTCAGACTGAGCTTTCAGGAAGTTCTGAACCCTATGCCACTTCCTCCCAAGCCTCTTAAACAGTAGGGAGAGCTTTGCTCCAGGCAGGCACACCATGGCATACAAGGTTAATTGGTTATGGGACGATTCTGCTTGATCTCTGTTTTGCTTAGAGCTGAATTGAGGGATAACCTCTGTGTCCCTCTGTTTTAAGTGCTCTGCCTTCCCTTTGCCTTTCACTGTGCATGTTTCTCTTCACTGCCTCTACCTGCACTTTCACATCACCAGCTCCTTGCTTCTTCCACTGAGCAATTAAGAGAGGTCCTGTCCTCCTGCACTCTGCAGGTGTTTGCTTACCTCCTAGAGGGATCTCAGTGGCCACAGGCTGCTCAGAGCTCCTTTTGTTTCTAGTTGCTAATTAGCTTTTTTAAGCTACTAAAAATACAGCCCTGGTAATAATTTATAGTGAAACTGCTATTTAAAGTAAGTTGAAAGGTATAGCTGCAAGTAATTTCTGTCACTGACACGCTACCACCCCCATCATCACAACTAATCTAGGGAAGACAGGTAGATATAATCAGAGCACAAATGTTTGCCCTGTATGGAAAAGACAGATACATTACACCCCTCAATTAAAAGATGAAATCAATACTGACAAATGTGAGTTTACATCTCAACCATCTACCTCTTAATTTCTAAGGGGGTAGACTTAATTAGAGCCTCATGACATCAGTGTGTGCGTCTGAAAGCTCAAAGAAGCTGGCTGACTTGACAGAAAGGGAAGCAGCCACAATTAACTGGCATGTTAGAATCCAACAGGAGGATGTTCCCTGTAGCTCAGCTAGGCTGGGTTAATTGGCAGCTGCTGTGTTGCTTTCCCTTCCTGTGCTACCAGTTGTGTGTAAGGTAAAATGTGGTCCTGAGCACAGGCCCAACAGAAGTTTTATGCACCTGAAGGGTTTCCCTCACACCCCCTCAACAATGTGGAGAGTGCCCCTTCCCAAAGCCCCACAGGCCAAGGGCTCACATGCTTTCAGGAGAAAGAGAGCTGATGTACCACATTGAAGCCTCTTGGCAGAGGCTGCATGCAGACCTCAGGGCTCTGAGAGTGGAAAGTGGGAGGCTGTCAATGCAAGGAAGGACATGAAAATTATTGAGTGAAGGATTGAGGGTGATGCCTAAAGAAGGGAAGGTGATGGGAATAGCACAAGACCCAATGTGACATTCAGAACCACACATTTTGCAGTACTTTGGCCAGCCCAGTTTTAATGGATTAGGGATGACATGTCCTCTTGATCTGGAGGTTGAATGTTCTACATCTACATCCTCTTGATAACAAAACCGTAGCTGATGCTCACACTGTCACTCAGCTACCCCCTGAACTCAGGCCCCACAGTAACAGATCCACATCCCCTGAAATCTGCAGGAATTATCTCAGGATCCTGGGAGATAATATTTGTCTCATAATGAATTACTCACAGTAGCCTGGACAAAGAAATGTTGAAGTATTTTTTAAGTACCATTTGAGTTAAATGGCACAAGGAAGGGCCTGCATGAAGCTCCACAAAATTAATTGCCATCACAGCTCCGGTCATATCATGATCCATTTAGGTTATTTTTCAGAGCACTCGTTATAGCCACTGTTTAATTCATTCTTTCATTAGATCACAGCTACACAGGCATCTTTCATCTGCTGCCAGTGAAATTAATATTTTTCTTTATTCCTGGCACAGATAGATTTTATTTTTTTTTTCTTTTCTATGATAGTTAATTCTGAGGTGGTTCATGTGACAGGCTGGGTGGCAGAGTCAATCCTTACTAGGCATTTCAGAAGAGAAGGGCCTTTGATCTCCTTGTGTTCTGATGTTTGCTATAAGCTTTGCCCTCTGTCACTCCACAGCCCCTGACCCTGGCTCTCATTACATGGCAGCAGATTCTGTGGGTGTTTCCTTTTGTGTAGGCAGAATTTGCAGCCAGGAAACTGGCACCAGTAGGTTTTGAAAGAAAACAGCAGATAATGATTAACCACAGGCTAAATGTTCCCAAGCCTAGGAGGAGAGATGGCCACTTCTCATGGGACCTGAGGGGAGCAAAACCAGAGGGAACACAGAACATGGGTGAATTTTCCAGAAGGTCCTATGGTGAGAAATAGAAGGGAAAAAGAAAGGGCTTCTCTTGATCCCTGAGCTGACCCTGACTCAAGTCAGTCTCTTCATGCAGTGAGTTATTGTCACGATACAATTGGAAGTCAGGCTGACTGGAAGAGAGAACACTGGGGTCCCTGCACCCAGACCTGTTCCCTTTTAAGCCTGGACAACACCCTGTTGTATAACAGTTGGTTTTAGCTAGAAAATGCAGCAAGTCAGAATTGCCCTGATGCTTCTTGTCTAAGAGTGAGCACAGCCAGAAATGTGCTCCTGTGTGCATAAGAGGGTAAGATGGCTTGGAACTTTAAAGTGGATGGCATAAACCACAACAAATTTGTGTTAGCACAAGGCAATTCTTTTTACCGTTTCTTTTCATACTTTTAAACTATTTCTTCCAATCTCCAAATTTTAATAGTTTGATTTTTGTTTTCAAGAGAAAGAAGATCCTGGTCATCTTTCTAACCTTGGGATTTGCATGGATTTTCTCAGAGGCTTGAGGGTTGTGGCACTGCATAGGTGCCACAATCGAAGGTCATTCAACAGGCACTTTAGTTGTTAATTAGGGCAGGCAAAAAGCTTTGCTGCGTGTTAGAAGTTCTTTAAGTCCTCTCCTAATAAATGTTCTTTAATATCCTACATGCCTGAAATTGCCTTGTAAGACTCAAGTGCTTTTGCCTGTTTTTTTTCGAGGAGGGAGCTGTGTGGAGCTCCAGCGTGTGTTGTGCGTGCACATACGTGTGTGTGTGTGTTGGTACAAATGTACACAAAGGCATTTGTACAAATGGCCCAGTTAACAAAAACTTCCGCTCCAAGTTTGAGGATGACTGTCTCTTGCTTCCTCAGGAAATTTGCCCCAAGGTGTTCTGTGTGTAAGGAGCCCATCATGCCAGCCCCGGGACAAGAGGAGACCGTGCGCATTGTTGCCCTGGATCGCGACTTCCATGTCCAGTGCTACCGGTGCGAGGTTGGTATTCCTGTCATGGCAGGGACAGAAAGCAAGGGTTGGCTTAACTTCATCACCACCTCATGTTGCTCACACAACAAGCATACCCTATTGTAACACTGGCTCTACAATCAAATTACTTCATTGACTTCAGCAAGCAAGGAATTTTCCCTCATTTATATCCACTCAATTGAGAGGAAAATCAGGTCCCTTGTTTATAACAGGTTCATTAGAAGAGCAAAAGAATGTGACTCAGGCAATTAGGGCTTAATACTTGAGAACTTCATAAATTATAGCCTGGACACAAATGTAGCTCATCTTTATGTTCTTAAAATGAAAGCTAATGCATGTTAGGATTTAAGCAAGATTGTACAGGAAACTCAGCATATGGCTCTGGGTTGAAGAATTTTAATGGACACATAAACATGATCATTCTTGTTTTGTGCAATGCTTTTTGTGCTACTTTTCCTGTTCAGTTTCATTACACACTTCATGTAATTTTGATGGTAAGAATCTGAAGACAGAGAATAAAAATCACCTTAAAGCAATTAGCATATGGGAACAGCTGTGTTAGGGAACCTTCAAGAATTCTTCAGTGCTAGTGTTACTTGTTGGATAATACATCAGCCAGATGGCAGGGTAAGAAAATGAGACCAAATATATTTCTTATTGCAGTTCCAGGTTTTAAGAACCTTAATTGGAAAGAAGGATGGACTAAGGTTTAAAGGTCTAGGCCAAAACTTGAGGCATCTGGTTCAATTCTCAATCTGACCTTGGCTTTCAGGGTACATATCAGCCCATTACTTAGGCCCAGTATTTTTTAAGATGCTGGAGAATTCTTACATTAAATTTTGTAGAGTCTAATTCATCATACAGCATGTCCCCATGCTGGCTGCTGAGGTACCCAGGCTTTCACACACATGGATCCATCAGCAGTCCTGGGCCAAATGATTGCTTGATCACACAGTGAGGGGTAATTCCCAATTTTTCTAGCAGCTATACTCAGCCTTAAAGCTTATAGGCTGAGGTCTCTGCAGCAGGTCTGGGGGCCTTGTAGTGGGGTTTCCATGTTCCTGTCTGACATCCTTCTTTTTGTCACAATGTTTTTGGCCAATTGTAATACACACACAGGTGACAGTTCTAGTAATGGGAGACAGGCAGAGATTTTGCTTAGCTGCCACCCCTGGAATGGAGGCTGTAACTTCATGGCACTAACTGTTCCAAAGGAGATTACCTATAGTCAGATATTGGTACTAAACTTTTTCCCAGTGGTGCTTCGTTTTTATCTTTTTTTGAATTAATAAATATGTGCTTCAGTTTGATGTTTCTCCAATGCTAAAGACTTTTGCTTCCTCAGAAATGTGAAAGGAATAATCTCCTTTTATTTTCAATTGGATTAAATTCAGCAGAGAGCTTGGGAACCCATCTTCTCTGCAGCATTGTCTCTTATCAGAAAATGGCTTAATCGTAAAAGACATCACGTACCTCAGCTTCATGCTTTTGCGCTCATTCAGGCTGGATCCTGTTACAAGGTGGAGAGTGAGGAGAGTTTCTTTGACTAATAGATTCTTTGCTTTATCTTGCTCTTTCTTATTTACTTTACTCTTCCTGTTCTCTTATTTCCTAGGACTGTGGTGGCCTCCTGTCTGAAGGGGACAATCAGGGCTGTTACCCTCTGGACGGGCACATCCTTTGCAAGACCTGCAACTCTGCTCGGATCCAGGCTCTGACTGCCAAGGCCAGCACTGATCTCTGAGGATCAACTGTGACCCTCCCCAGGATGCCCATTGGGGGATATTGCACAAGCTTTGCATGATTTCTTTCCAGCCTAGGGTCTGAAACTCTGACATTTAAAAAAAAAAAAAAAAAAAAAAAAAAAAAAAAAAAAAAAAAAGTAAAACTGGAAGGCCTTGGAGCAAGAGGGCAGTTCGAGAGGCCATGTTCAGACTGCCCACGACAGGCACCTAATTTAGACACAAGTGTTCAGGAGGGCAGTGAGTGAGTCAGAGCAGCTGCTCTCTCTGCAGCCAATGGAGTTAAGGGTCACAGCACCTAAGTTATCTGCCTGTAGGAGGTCTGAACATGGTCCTTACTATGCTTCTGTGTTTGATTCCTGTTTCTTAAGAAGTACATGAAGGTAGAGGGTGAAAGATGGCTGAGGTTCCTGCCAATGTATTCTGAGAACCTGACCAACTCTCATTGAAGTCATGGGACATCAATGTCTGCTGGTGATTTTAATAGGATCTGTGTCACCAGCAGAAGTAGCTCCACTGTCCTAGAAGGAGAGCAGACCCAGCATTAACACAAACAGTGGAACTGCAACTGTACTGCACCTGAGTGTAGGTGTGATCTTGTATCCTTGGGACAGATTAGTTATTTCTTAGGCCCTTACTTGTCTCCACTCCCTTCCAGTTCAATAGGATTTTTCTTTTACTCATGAAAGTCTACTTAGCTATTGCATAAATTTATTCAGTAGTGATGCTTCCAATTCACAATGTATGAGAAATCACAGAAAGATGTGAGCTTGCACACACTGTGCACTACATACACACTACACACTACACACAAAACATGCTTTTGATTTACCAGAGGCATAAGCCAGTCATGTCCATTGAGCAGATCTTTAAGGGATGTGGGGCTGGAAATACATTTCTAAAATCCCAGTGGTTAAAAAAAAGATAAAAATGACTACACAGAGCTGCAGTGCAAAGCGATGCTCAAAAAAATCTTACGCCATTCTCATACAGCCCATTCTAGTGGGACCACTGGCAATGTTGGTCTCTGGGTAGACATTCAAGCAATAAAGTCTTACTCCATCTCCTGTTATTGCAATGGGAGGATTTTTCTTCAGCAGTAACAGGGATTGAATCAGGCTTTGGGATGATAAACATTTCTTTGATGTTAACACATGTGATCTGTATTTTTCAATAAAAAAAAAAATCAGATCTTGTTTCAACAGCAGCAAAAAAGATCCTCCTAAATACATGTTCAGTTTTCATCCTAAGAAAGCTAAAGAAAGTATTAAGCCCTTCACTATGCCTTTCCAGAAAGCAGGCATATTTTTTTTCTTCTTCCATTTTCATCCCAGCCACTTATAACTTGCCTCTGGTGAAATTCATGGCAGTAGAATGCTGGGCCAGCAATAGCATTTTCATCTTCTGTCCAGAATTAATATACAGGCCAAGGTAAATAAAACCTGGGCATAGGAAATAATTTTTTTTCAGATGAATGTGGGTATGGGTTTTTTGTGGTTTTTTTTTAGTTTGGTTAATTAAAAACAAATCAAAAACTTAAAAATCTATGGCATTCTGAGCAGCTATAATAGTCTTGTTCATGAAACCCGTAATAACTAAGGTGCAAATTACATAGTGAGGGAGTAATTTTCATATCACTGAATTGACATTAATATCTTATTTGCAGATGTAATCAAGGAAAATACCTTTCTTTGCACTTAAATTAAGAAGCAGAATTGAAATAGTTGCAGTCTGATTGACCATATAAGTGACAAACTGGCACTTTTCAAGAGTAAGTTATAAGATTTTTATTCATGCATCCCACTGAAAAACAGTAAGAATGTGGTGATTTCCTTTTTGTATCAGGTTTCTGTTACAGAGAATAATTACATCCACTAATGCTGAAAAGAAAAGTTAGATGAGCTGAACTGATAGGAAACAAAGGAAAAATTGTGATGTGATACTGCAGCTCCTGCAAATGGTGCACTTCCTTTCACTTTAGCACTAACCTTTCTGGAAGAGCACTGTGATACTCAGTAGCTTCAGCTGCCTGTGGTAAATTCAAATGCAGAAATACCAGTCTGAAACCTCCATTCCTTACATGCTTTATATGTTGGCAAACTTTGCCAGTCAGGGAAGTTTCCCAAAATTAACAGCTTGAAATGAATCCGTCTTTGTAGAAGGGTGGCATCATTGAGCAGAAGTTTTCCTTCGCCACCATAGAGGCTGTGCTGAAGCAGTTTGACTTTTTATACTGGATTTCTACCCTGGCCAGCAAGAATGTTACTGCCTCAGACATAAACAGATTTTTTGGCACCTTGGCTCCCACCAGGTTCCACCTGGGCTCCTGCTCCCTGAACCGTGGCATGTAAGGTCCTTCTGAGCTCGCGTCTTGACAAGCAGTCTGTACCACCACCACTCCAAAAACCTTGCAAATACTGAGCAAATCTAGTTTGAACTAACCTTACAAAAACAAGGGAGGTCAGTGCTGGGATACAAGCACAGGTGATAATGCCATGCACTGAGGTGCAGAATGGGCCGTTCAGCAGGCAGAAGATGTAGCTCTGGTCTTCCTTACTTTTGTGAGTGTTAAATCAAGTGGCTGATGAGACTTTCTGAATAACACTGGGGCAATTGATGGCAACCAGCAGCTGTGCCTTCCAGCACAGAATGTGGCCTAGACTAAGGAGAGGACCCAAGTTCAGAGCCTTTGGGCTTTTTACAGCCCTGCCACAGGCTGAACTGGAGTGAGTCATATCACTCCTTGTTTTCTGCCCTCTGCATGAGAGAGCTTCTTTGCAGTTTCCCAGAGACATTATGGGGATTAAACTAATCACAGACTAGCCCAAACTACTGATTTCTGGTGCTCTATTTTCTCTTTCCAGAAAAGTTTGCTGGTATGTAGGCCTGGGATTCCAGCTCATTTCAATGCATGTGGCCAGGAGATCCAGCTCTGAATCCTCTGTTATGAGAGTGCTGTGGTGAGGTGGGCTGGCATGCAGGGAGGTGAGAGCCAAACTTTTGAAGCATTAAATACTTTATGGATGAAATATGATTGACAAAGATTGAACAGTGTTGATGTTTGAGGTGCTGTGGCTGGTTTCTAGACCTGACACATCTGTGCAAAGGTACTATTGATGGGGTTTTTTTTCACCCCTAGACACCAAAGCCATCTGCCTGGAAGGAGTGAGTGTCCAAAAGCCTCGTCTTTATTCTGTGGGGCTTTATTTTTCAAAATTGCTATAAATATATTTGAAAGATCTTGTATATACATCACAGAGGCTCTCATCATCCACATGTATATGGTAATCTCTCTGCTGATGCTTCAGGATTTAATTAGGAAATGCTGGTGGGATTTATCTCAATTGCACTGCAATTAAGAACCACTGGGATATGGCTTCATCACAATATTTATCACATATTTATAATATATCATGTTTATCTCTTCCAAAGAAGGAGTCTTTTTGCCAAAGAGACCTTGGTTTTTTAAAGTTGGACCTTCTTAGCCATGACAAAAATTCACATCATCTGGCTGTGGTAATGTCCAAACTGTTCCTTTCAGAAAGAGTTGGAAGATCACACAAACATTTCTGTTCAAGTCTGCAGTTTCTGCTTATGCTGCTTTGTCTTTGTCTAGCATTTTTTGGCAAGTAGGGCCTGATCCCATGATTTGTGTGGCCAGACAGGGCCCAGGATCAGGTTCTAATTTAGCAAAATATTTAAGTCCCTGGGGTTTGTTTAAGCACGGACTTAAAACCATTGCATGGTGTGACATAAGCCATTAATACCAGACTGGTTCTTTATCCCCTGATCATACAGGTTTGATCCGGGTAGGATGTGGGCACAGTCAAATTTCTATCAAATTACCCAGAGCACAGGAAATGGCTCCTGTGTCACCCTTACGCCAACTGTAGGAAAATACCATAGCTGATCAAATGTAGCATTTAGATGACAGGAGGCTGAGTTGTTACAAGGTGAGTGCTTTGTGTTGGGTGGCTGTGGCACCTTCCATATGTCACAAGTAGCCCTACAGCCAGATTTACTGTATCTTTGAGCAATGGCTTTAAAACTGTCTACTTAAACTTTCTCCAGGAGACTGGGTTGCCTTGGTTACAGCCCAATCCTTAAGCATATCCCCAAGGCTAACACTAGCATTTTGTGAATGTGATGGTTTTATTGTCACTTACTTTATTCATTGAACATTGCTTTTAAAAACAGAAAGCCACATCAATTCTTTAGCCTATCAGATAACAAGCCTTTAATTTTGGTTTTGGGAGGGGTGTTAATATTTTAATTCTTAGATTTTTATCATGGCTGCAAAACACTTGGGTAATGACTTAATCATAGAGGTGTGGGAGTACCGAAGTGTTTATCACTCTGCATAACAGTGTTCATCCTGATAGCAGGAGCGAGACTTTAACAAAACACAGGCCTTAAGTTGATTTTCTGCCTATCAGCAAAATGTGCCTGGGAAGAATGAGAAAAAAGTGTCTTTAAAGAAATGGTGGTTGTTAAAGAGAACACATGACAAGTCTGTCTGAAATCTCTTTGGACCTGTTATGGCTGCTGCCTGGCTGTGGTTAACTCAAGCCTGGCTTAGTCAGGTTTTATCAGCATTTATCAGTATTGATAAATGCTGGTTCCTTTTGATTTTGAGAAAGTCTGGAAGGCAAGGGATAACAGGACCCAGGAGAAGGTTCTTGAGAGAAATCCTGTGTCAAGGATAGACACGTGGTGCTTGCGCTGAGTGTCTCCAAAAGGGTTTGAGCTGCTGACTGGTGTCTGTTGGTGTCTGGTTCCTGCAGTTGGGGCACAGTGTTGATTTGCTGTTTGTTCAGCGGCCTGGGTGGACAACACCTCACACAGCTTCAGTACTGCAAGCTGGGACTGTTGGAGAGGGGGTGCTGAACCATCCCATGGTGGTGAAATTCCCACGAGAAAACACCAGCGAGGGTAACTGAGGGTTTGTTGTGGAAGGAGGGCAGGAACTGCTTCATAACCTAGAGGTTAGTAAAATACAGACCAAGAAAGCTTTGAGAACACTATTTCCACTTAAATCTGGTTGCAATTTTTACTCTAAATTACGTGATACCAGAAGGGCCATTTTTTAATGAGAAAGTCTCTCTTTTTGCAATGTTACCCACAACATTTTCAGGGGGTTGTTTTTTCTGTTATGATTAAAATTATACTGAATTTTTATCTAAATAAATTTCAGAATTGTTAACAAATATTTTTATTTCTCAAAGACCCATGTCATCTTTCACAGTTTTTTGTAGTTCTTGGGTTTCTTCTACTGGCAAATTAAAGTTTCTGTTACCATTTTGAAAATTTCTTTGGATAAAAATTCTACTTAAAACCAAGCAGATGTTCTTGGGAAATGCTTCAATATTGGACCTGGAGAAATAAAAAAAGCTTTGAAATTTTTCACAAGATATTTTTTCCCTATTTTTAACTAGTTTTGCTAATTTTGAAGTCACTGTTTCCTTTGCTAGAATAATCCAAGTAATGTGACTCTGAAAATAACAGTGTTACTTCTATTGCATTCATTTTTCTTATCCATCTTAAAGCCATGGAGTGGCTGGCTATGGGGACTGCCAGTGTCTTTTTCTGTGGCAACTTCAAATTTCTTCTTTGTTTTTATCTTGAGGTCTCTTTCTGTTTGGCTTTTTCCCCTGAAATTACTGAAGACTATAAGCTCATTATGGCAACTGCCATGAAAATCAAGAGATACTGATTGAACTTCATCTCCTTTCTGGGCTTGGGAATGGCATTTTTCCTTAAACATTTCTAGAAATATTACCTGTCTTCCTCAGCATTTCAGCTTTTTATTTGCAACAGTTGGTTGCCCAACTGGCATTTGGAGCCTGATAGAGAACAGACTTTACACCTGTGAAATGATAACATTCACCCAGCATCTAAAAATCTAAGAGAAAAAACGTAATCTCAGTAGGTTTTCTGGTGGACATTGAGCTCTCACTTTAGCCTGGAAATTTTCTGCTGTAGTGTGAAAAAATCTAAGTTCCACCCTTGCAGAGCAGTCTGGCATACAGACACACATGTCAGGTGTTTGTGGGGCTGTAACTGAGTAGAAATACAGGCTGCAATATTGACGACTGTTGCTTCTTATACTCCAATGGGCTTTATTCCTGACTACACGTCCCTGGTCTCTTTGGCTTCATGTAATGTGTGGAAGCACAGGGTTTATCACGGGTAGCAAGGACATCCAGTTGAAACTTTTTTTTAAATTTTGCCATTTGTCCAGTATTCTCATCCTACCTAGATATTTTAGAAAATGAAGAAGGAAACAGAAGCCCCAGTGGTGGTATTACCTTTACAGTTCCAGGGGTTAGAGTCACTCCCCAGGAACACCACGCTTGGGGTGTCTCTGCTTTTCTGCCTCTGCCTCCCCTTGTCCACAAGCCACCCTCTTACCCACTTTTTCCATGTCCTCAGTGTGCACTCATCTTTGCAGTAAAGATGATTTCTTACTTCACCGAGGTATTGTGAGTCTTAGCTAGTAGTTGGAAAAACTTGTTCAGATCTTTAATCAAGCAGTTTTGTGTGTCCTTAGTATCAGTGGCCTGCCATATGGATATCAAAGAAAATTGTTATAATTATTGCTTTTTAAATGATTATGAAATTGTGCCTTACTTTTTCAGTCATATTTAACCGTGTAATTTAGAACCACATGATTGCAGGGATTTACCATGAAGAAATATATTTGAAGGATAGTTTGTTTTTTAAATATTTTTTTTCCTCAAAAATGATTTTATTAGCTTTTCCTCTTTATTTTTTCCTCCAGTTATATTGTTTTAATATGTTTGTGTAAAAGGGCAGCCAGAATTTGCATTCGTGAGAGACAGAAGATTTTATTTGGTGTTGTATGTAAAGCTTTCATTTTCTTTTATGTTCCTTCAGGAAAATTCCTCTCTCCCCAATTACTCATACTGAGATGTCTTTAAATGCAGGCTGACCAGTAAGAGTTTTTTGTTGTTGTTGTTTAATTTAGTGTGTGGTTTGCTTTGTGGTTGTGGTTTTTCTTTTAATTAACCAGATATCGGCTGCTGGGGAGGCATTGCACATTAATGCAGAACGTTAATGCTAATTTTCACAGAAAAGACAAAATTAGAGTCTTTCCCTGTCTCCAGTGCAGTTTGGTTACTGCTCTGTGTACAACACTAATATTAAGCCAGACTGTAAAGGCTAAATACTCAGAGTGACCTACTTCCATTCACCAGCAAGAATCCTTTGTCAGCTGACTCCTGTTTGTTTGTTCATTTTTAAATGTCGGATTACAGAACTAGCATCTCCTAAAGATGAAAGAAAACAGTGTTTTCATGTGCAGGAAATTTGGGGTTGCAGTAACAGAACATTTTCTTTGTGAATTTGGATGTCATGGTGTTTTAAGCTCCTGCCTGGAGCCTAAATCAATTTGGCCTCTCATCCAGTTCATCTAACTGGTGCTCCTAAAAGGCTGCAGCCCTGCAAAAGCTCATGCAGCATTTTTGGCTGCCTTCCCTTGCTCCCATTTGGTACATATTTGCACAATTTAACTGAGCTTTTCTTTCTGCTGAAGGTCAGATGCAAGCGATACGAAACACTAAACTTTATAAACAAGCAAAACCATTTCAACCACAGCATTTTGGACTAGAATGGATTTTTAGGTGGCGCACTGTCTGCTGGCCTTGGGAGAGGGGATCCTGAGACTGCATTGGACTGGAACAGGATGCAAAGCCACAAGCCTTGTTTTTTTTAATAAACTACTTACTGTAATCCAGCTACACAGTTTCAGCCTCACACTTCAGAAGAAGCTTCCAATGGCTATGCACGTACAGGCACTTTCTCTCTTGCAGAAAGTGAAACTTTCCCAACCAGAGTAGATTTAACCTATTGCATAAGATGCTGGAAGTTGGTTGTTTTTTTATTTTCCTTGGGATTCTCACTGTAACCTCTGTGTGCAGAGGATGAATAGCTTTTCTTTTTCCTCCTCTTTTTCTTTTCCTGACAAGATTAGATGTTGCATATTGATGAGCTAGCATTTCAAAGGTCCGTGGGGCTTTAGAACATATTAAGAATCTCTGAAGTTTAATATTCACCATGTTTTAAATATTCAAAAGGAAAAATCTGCATAAAATAGCTTTTGATAAATACATTCTAGGGATTCTTTCTTTCTATCTTACACAAGCATTGTGGGGATTGTGGCTGTGCCAGTTTTGTTCCAAAGTGTCTTTTGTTTCAGCATTTCAGGATCATTTTGGTCCCATTTGTATGCCCAGTACCAGTCCTGAAATCTGTTATGGTTCCTACTGAGACTGTACAGCAGGCACGTGGCTGTGACCAAGAAAAAGGCTCAGCTGAGCATTGGAACTCCTGAATATCTGTTTGGGGGCTTCCTCCTTATGACAGCTGGGCACATCCAGCCCTTTTCTGTGCCTGCTTCTTGAGATGGGGTTGGGATCAATCCAGTGGTCAGGCCCACTTTGAGATCTTTCTGCAAAGGTGCTCTATACCAGTGGGGTTCTGAGACTGGAAAATACCTTGGGTGCAAGAGCAAAGCAAAGTGTCATTTGATGCATCTCAGATCTCACAGGGCAGTCTCCCCTTCCTTGGAAGTCTCTTTGGTGAGAATCTCAGCAGTAAAAAAAGTGCCTTTAGGAGAAATCCTCCCCTAGGGATGCTCCATTTCTCATGCTCTTGAAAATCTGATTTGAGCTTTAGCTGAGGAGGATCAATTGCTGGCTGTAAAGGCACAGCTGTTTTGCTGTAATAGCAACACGTGTCCTTAGCCTCCACGTCCTGTGGTACGTCCCAGGGTGTTGCAGGACAGCACTTCGGTCCCTCCTGCACCCAGCCTGGACTGTCACACCAGTCCCTGCTGAATCAGTGCCTGGTATTTGTTCTCAGGACCGCTCTGGCCCGGGCCAAGGGCACCTCATGCCTCTATGCAAAAGGTGGTGCTTTCAGGTTTTACTTTACAAATAATGCAGCTCTTTCAAACTCACCTTTCTTCTCTCACATATTCTTGACAGAAGTAGGATTTTAAATATTTAATAGCATCCTTCTTTCTTCTTCCTTTTTGCCAGATGCCTTGAAAACATTGTCAGATTACGATCTGGGGGGGATCAGGATCAGTTTCCTTTCCTTCTTGATTGCATGGTGTAGGTTTGCAATGAGGGTTTTGTCCTTTTTTCTTTTTTCTTTTATTTTCTTAGTCTTACAGAACACATGCCTTCATTTTATGCAGAGAAGGATTGTCTATGATTAGAGCTAATCCAGGATGGCAGGATTGGACCCCCACAGCGAAAGCTAGAAAAGTGATTGCAAAAGTATTCTGTTTCTCCTTTATTAATTGCACAGGAAGTTTCCACCAAAGGCTCATGTAGCCCAACTGGCCTATGTAATAAGTAGCAGGGCCTGTAATTACAGTCTGTCTTCTGATCCTATCTGTGCTCTGACTTTCTAGGCACTGAAGTTCTATTTACATCTGGCTCTTTGTCACCTTTTTAAATTTTTGATTGGTCACTAAGGGAAGGAGAGCACGAGCCATGAGCCCTGCGAGGTGCAGTGAGTATGAACGAGGGAGTCCTCCTCCCTCTCAGGTATCTGCCTGACTTGGGACACAGAGCAGAGCACGATGAGCGGGAGGATTTTAGCAGCCATGCAGCAGAGGAAGTGGGCTGCCTGCCAACGGTATCTTTCAAGACCTCTGAGTTCTTTATAGCACTGGGAATTTGAACCTTTTACAGGTCTTAACTAGTGTACTCTCCTGTGAGATATTTCATCAGCATTTCTTTGCTCAGAGCTATTCCTACAGGATTTGACCTTTTTTCTCTGTAAGATTCAAGGTTTTATGGTTGCAAAGAGATCCTTCCCCATATGGCATGAGGAGGGAGATGGCTTTTGGCATCGTGCAGAGAAGCTGTGTTACAAATCCTGGTATCAATGTGGAAAGCTAGAGTAACTTGAGTGGGAGGGGAAAGGCAGTGATTTACACATGGTTCAGTACGAGGTTCACCAGCGAGCACAGCCTCAAGCAGATGAGCTCCCCGAGGTGTCAGTTCTGAGACCTGCAGGATAATAATGGGCTGCTTGTGGGAGTGTTTGGTGCTGGACACTTTGGGAGTAATCTCTTGTCTCTTTGGAAACATGCACTAAACTTTGTGCAAAGCTACAGAATGGTGTCCCCCAGACCTCTTCCTCAAGGCAGACTCCGGTGCTATGTTTGATCAAGAGGAATGAAAGCCATTAGGCAAATACTGTACTCTGCAAAAAAAAAAAACATTAACAATATACTACAGATACTTTTAATGTCCATTAAACTGTTACCCAAATTGTCCCTTTTTCTATAGCTTGGACTGTTATTTCATTATTTTTAACCTGACTTCTGCTTAAAAAATGCTCCTCAATTATTTTTTATTTTTTGTAACTCTGCTTCTAAGAAAGTTGATGCTTTAAAGGAAAAAAAAAAACAACTTAGTTTCAAACATGGGTTTTTCAGGCTTCTAAATTAATAATTTCTACACCTGACCCAGTTCCTGCAGCTGCCAAAAAAGAAAAGAGAAAGCTATTTAAATTTCTCATAGAACCATTTATCTCTTAAAATATGCCAAGGCAATTTGAGGTGGGGGTGGAGACTCAGCTATTTATCTCAGCAGCTTGATTTTTCTCTTTATGTTTCTAACTGTCAGGGGGAAAAAACCGGTAGGAAGCTATTCTTGGGCTATTATTGATGTATTGTGTTGCCATTATGCAGGATGTCTGCTTTGCTATATACGGAAGGACATTAATAATAGCCATCTCCCCTGCCCCCACCCTCAGTTCCTCTCTGAGAAGATATGGTTTAACTGGAGCATCTGCTGTGTTCAAATTGCTGCTCCTTCCTCCCCTTCCCCCAGTTCATTCCCAAACTAGTTTTAGGAACCAGGGCTAAGGAAAAAAGGAGACATTATTTTTGCCATTTTTCTGCCTACTTCTGTGGTTGCTCCAGGCAAATAATTTCCATGCCCTGTACCTGTCTACCTTTTTCTTTCCCATGTATTGCCCTTGCTTTCATTTTAAGTTCATCAATGCAAAGAGAAAACCCTTTCTTGCTGTCTTTTTCTCACAAAGGCTGGCTGGCAGAACGGGCTCAGCAACAGACCTCTGATTTGTTATTACCCAGCATTTCATATCCACAAACATTGGTTTCATTATTTCCAATTAGTAGGAAAATGTATTCCCGTTCCCATCCCTCCCACCCCAGGTTTAAAACATTGTTATGTGACTTTAAAGGGTCCGTCTACTTGTTTAAAGACTCGGATGCTTGTTTTATTTTTGGAAGCAGAGTGTACAGTGAACAGGAATAGTTTGATGTTTAAAAAATAGCCCCAGTTCAGCATTCCCCTGAAGTGCGGGAAGTCCTGTCTCCGCAGGGCTGTGCCAGCAGCGTGACAGCCCAGAGAGCAAAGCCGGCTTGAAAAGGAAAAAGAACTGGCCTGCCTCACTTCATCTGTGAGAAGAGAGAGGTGAAAATAATAAACGTGGCAAGAAAATAAAGGGCAGAATTGCTCTGGTTTTTTATTTTAATGGCTGTTCCTATGTCTCCCGCTGATTTTGTTCCATAGTAGCTTTGCTTATTCAGCATATTTGGTAATCAAGACTATGTGCTTTTTCATGGTATCATTATTTTTACTTTTCATTTGTTGAGTTGTAGTCTTGCCCTGGTCCCGATAGGGTATGGAGCCCTTTGGTTTGGGCACTGAATGAAAACAGTTAGGAGCTCTGTCTAGGAGAGGTCACTTACAATTTGGAACCAGAAAATGCAATCGGTATATTTTCCAGTCTGATATAGAGGTTTTCAAAACTAAAGGGGAGATGGCCATTCAGTGTAGTTTCTTGTTGCTTTTATAATTTTCCTGGGTGGTATACAAGGAGAAAAATTACACCCTCTGTTCCCTAAACCAGAGCCCAGCATCTCCTCTGCAAACATTTGCTCCAGCTTTCCACACTGCTGCAGCATGGGAGTGATGAAGGCCTGCTAAGGGAGCAAGGTCAACCTTATCCTCTCCACAGCCAGTGCTGCTTCCCGTGGTGAGTCTGTGTCCAGCCTAGGGCTTGATCCTGCCTTCCTAGTATGAGTATTTTGCCAGAATCAGCCGTTTTCTCTCTGCCATTAGCTATGGGACTGTGTGCGATGATGAGGATTTGCAGGGAAGGAGAAGATCCTGTTCCAATTAGGCTGCCTTTGTGCTAATGTTTCATTCAGGGCTGCATGAGATAAGAGCAGTTTGCACTGAAATGCACAGCCTGAGGTTGTAGTTTGTGTTTCAACTGTGTTGAGATGGTACCAATTGAAAATCCAAACTGGGGCATTTTTTTTTTGCATCTGCTTTACTAACTGCTTTGTGCGGGCTGCAAACCCATTTCAGTTTGGCAAATGGACATTTTGTGCCTTGTCTCCCAAGCCTGATCTAGTTCTTTGTTTTATCCACCTAAAGAGTAGTATTTCTAATAGCCTAAGTAGCTAAGCTGCTGAAAAGCATCTCAACAGAACAACCAGCAAGGTGACAAGTAGGCTATTGACAGAGCTGCCTTTACAAAAGTGTATTCCACTTTCTTCACTGTGTGCCTTTTCAGAGACCTGCTGTGCTCCTTTATGGGCAGCAGAGAAACAGTCCTAGTGCTGAGCAGGGATGGGAACTAGGAGGGTGATGGAGAAGAAAGAGGCTAATGCTGAGCATTTGTTCTCCATGGGGATAAGCAAAACAATTGCTTATCCCATCAGTACAGCTTGTCTTGCTTTACACACCCTGTTGTCTGGTGGACAACTGTTCTGTAGCAGAGGTATACTTCAGTGTATTTCCTCAAACATCTCTTCCTGATCAGAACTCCAGAGTCATTCATATCTGAAGAATTTATTCCCTTAATATTGTCTCTTACAAAAAATCACCATCACTCATTTTTTATATAATGCTAGAGGAGAAAATCTGAAGGTGAACCAAAGTTTGATTGGTGCTACTGTATTAAAAAGGCTGATATGCTCTCATTTTCAACCCTTAAAATAATGTTATAGCAAACTTTTGTCTGCTGTGATTGGACAGGAAATGCAAGGTGTATTGCAAATGCAGTAAAGGGAGAGACTTGATGTTTTGATGCTCTGAACTGTACCACTGTGACCTCCTCTGCTGTCTCTTTGGAGAGTAATAAGTGAGTATTGGTAGAGGTAAGGGTAGAGCCAAGTAATGCCTGGACTTTCTTTCACAGTCTTGCTAGAAAGGATCTGCCTTGGTGAGACATCAACTTCCTTAATGGTCCTGTACTTTCCCATGCCACAGCCTGTGCTTTGGACAGTCAGAGAGACTGGAGAGCAGCCTCCAGTGCCTTCCCTCTAGTTAGTCAAATGAGAGACCCCGAGTACTAATTCTGCAGTCAGTTTTCAGAACAAAACAACATGTTTTCAGAGCCCAATCTCTCACACTGGCTTTACCTGTGGGCTGATACAAGGGGATCTGAACCACACATAGGTCATTCCAGAAAGTTTCTTCTTGGCTACATGCCCCATGGAGAACCCCCTAAAGGCTGGGAGAATGATTCAGCTCTTTCAGACTGCAAGGAGGAAGTGCCCCCAGGAATGTATGTGTCCTATGTAGCTGCTATGCTTTGGCCTACCCCTGCCAGTTGCAGAGCTGTCTGCTCAAGCTCTGGGGATGATCTGTCCTGGATGTGCAGTAATTCACAGCGGTTTGAGGTGGTGTTTCAGCTTCGTGGTGGTTGTTGGTTTAGCCCTTGAGATGGAGAAGGTTTTGCGTTGTTGCCTTTGTTGCAGTTGGGAGGGAGTGTGAGTGGCCACTCTCCTCCTTGTCCAGTGTCAGCCAACAGAGGCTCTCAGTGGTATGGGAAGCATCTTCCTTTTAAATGTGAATCACTAGCCTAGGGATCTGGGCAGGGGGGCACAAGGAAGCACTTCCTGTGTGAGGAATGCTTCTGCTGCGCACTCTATACCCTCGGATCCTAATGAAGTAACATTACTTGAGCTTTTAGGACTGCTCTCCTGTCTGTCAGAGCTTGGGGGTACCAGATTTTTACTCCTTGCTGAGCAAAAGCACTACCCAAGCCTGTGGGGGGCCTAATCCTGCTGCCATTGGAATTTTTCTGATTCCTGTGAATTGCTGAGTGCACCTCCTGTGAGCTGCTGAGTAGCCTCCCTTGTCACTGAACCCATCAGACCACTTGTCTCCCTCACTGACTACTCCCACAGGGCTTTGAGGGCACTCAGGAAATGCAATCAGCACCTTACAGGATCGATCTGCTAGGCAATAAATGAAGTTTTTTCTCTGGTAACTTGTGTGCATGAATTGAAAATCATTTATTCCAATTTGTTCTGAGGACAGATGCAGCATATACACATTTTCTATATTTATAAATATATATAGATATATATATTTTGTTCTCAGCTAGTTACCTCTTTTAAACTGCAATTTTCAGAGCAACCGGCATATATTTTTTATTCAACACATAAAATAACTTTTTACAATAAGAGAATGAAAGCTGTTTTAAGCATGTGTTTTCTGTATTTTTATTATGCATTATCCAATTATATTGAGATGTATTTTCCTCTTTGCTCTGCTCTTTCAGTTGTTATCCTTTTTATCAGTTATGCTTTTCAAATGTTTTGTAAGGGAAAATAAATATGCAAAATCACCAGATGCCTTTTTTCTTTGCAGAAGAAGTATCACAAATGCTTTTTTATTACATTTTACCAATCCAATAAACTTCTTAAAAATTTCATTTTTGTTTGCTAGCGTGTGAAATTATTTTTTCAAGTTGAATGGTATTTACTTTCTCCCAGCCTCCACCTGCAATTACGCTTCATATCCTTCAACTTTTTTTCTTTTAGGTTCGAAATTTCATTGTGTGGCTCCTGAGCATACTTAATTCAAGAGTCTGTTTCACTGCTGGGTGAAGTAAAGATGTAAAAGTGTCCCAAGAGAGGCTGTTCCCCATCACACTGACCATCTCTTGATGAATTTTGCACTGTTCCTAAAAATGTGTGCCTTTGCAGTGGAGAGCGCTCCATTCCTAACTCATGCAGTACTCTGCACAGTTGGGCTGTATGGGAAGGTGTCCACAAATGTTCTCAAAGTTGTGTTGTGATGGGGTGACAGGAGAGCCAGACACCTTGCTCTGCAGCTGAATGGAGAAACATTATTCAAACTGTTATGGGGAGAGTAGAAAGAAGTGTGGTTAGCAAAGCCTGTCTCTTCTAGAAACTTGTTTCTAGGCTATCATTGCGGTAAATAA